GTCTCTTTCCAAGTGTTTTTGAAAGCTCTGCCAGTTCCGAAAGCTCGAGTCCAGCTCGCGCCGTAGCCTGTAACGGAGTTGACGCTGCAGATTGTGTCACGTTTATTTGAGGTGATTGCATACTAGCCGACGAAATGAAGCTATCCGAAAATGATGTTGCAACAGTAGTGGATACATCCTCATCCGTAGACGGCGCATTTGTAGAGTCAACCCACTGTAGCTCGTCTTGGTGATCAAGTCGTAGCGTTCTAGATAGACCCCCGTCATCCGTGGTCTCTGTGTCGTCGTGGATATCTACAACAGCAATTGAGGCTTCAATCGCGTATTGCAGACGTTTGGCTCGCTGCACCTCTGCAGGACATGCACCATTACCTGTATAGTTAATTTAGCGGTATAACAGCTAAATGTCAGGAGTATAGTAAAAGGGTGGTTTAAGAACAAATTACTCGTACCCGTCGGCTTTGGAACACGAACTAGTTTTTGATACTTTCGCTTTAAGCTCTCTCCGTCTCTTTCAGTCCATCCAGCAGGGATGTTTGTGTTAAAAAGCGAAGCCACATTCTGCCACTGCTCAGCACCAAAAGGAAGAATATCATCAACTATGTCCAGTAGTCCTGTAAACATATAGGTGGGTTAGCCTAGAACCTATTATTAGCGAATAATGAATTAACCTACGCATCACTTCGGATGTGGTGAAGTTCTTGCCCTTAGTCTTGCCCTTTGCCATTGTGGACGATGCAGTGCGGTCCTGATGACAAAATGTCGAATAACCATCAGTGAGAAAGCCCCTGCTTGCAAACCCATGAATAGGTTGTAACGACGACCTCGCACAGAGCTGAAGCTAAACCTGTCTAATCAGATAGTCTTTTTGGTACTGAGCACCGTATTAAGTACGTTATTTGGTGAGACGCCTTTTGCGTCTTTTTTTTCCTCAATGGCGCGCTCCTTTTCTGATTACCAGGAATTGAAATTTAAACTTGCGCTCTGGGCGCCTGCTCCGCGGGCGCTAGGGCATGGCTGGTTGGTGTAGTGAGTGTTGCCCGCCTCCGCTCCCCTCGGGCCATAAAGCCGTGTGTTATGAATTTTGTGCCTCCAAAATACTCTGTAAAGAATACTCTTAGTGCTAACATTTCCGGTCTCATCGACCGCCTCGTAATCTACTGCATTCCTGAGCTTCTGCCTAATATCACTGACAACAGCATATAGATCAGTATACGCCTAGCAATTGGCAGGTCCAGGTATTGGATATCCGCGTGATTGATCGAGCACCGATGGGTGTTGTGGAACGTCGTGTTAAAGGTAGACATATAGCTCCAAGTCATTGCGAAGGGGAAGTCTTTGTCGCTGCCACCCGACTTTAACGTGGTCTGCAAGATGAACGACATGTTACCCTAAATACTTTGCCTTGATTTTCGTTTAAACAGTTCGCTCCTAAGTGACACCACATTGAGGCACTTTTCGATGCAAAGTCAGTATCTGCTGTTCAGAAGACAGGTCACTAATATCGGTCCTCCAAAATTTAGCGTAGGGGGGTAGGAAATCCCAGGATACCTTAGCGAGCGTCAATACGCCTACAGAAGCCCCCCTGAATAAGCGTAGCTTGTATATCATATACCCTTTATATTGGATAACAGGGAATGGAGGTACAATTGACAATTCACCAGATCGCTTTGATTTCTCTATGCAAATTTATGAGACGACCCCTACGTTTATTGAGGGGGACTTCTGTACTTAAAAATATTGCCATCTGCCACGCTGTATCGATACTAGGGAATCAACTTCATCACGACAGACGTCTCTATTCCAAGTATCGCATAAATGCTAGCGACCTGGCTGTATTATCATCCATTTAGTGGCCTATCCTGGAATAGATCATGTTGGCTTTGTTCAAGCGAAAAATGTTTTAAAGCAGCATCACGTATCCTTCTATTGACAACACGTACTACGTCCTGTACGGATATCTTACCTACTGGCAACAAGCCCACATCACACCGTTTAGTGGCGCGCCACTGAGCGACGAAGAAAATGCATTTAACAAGAAAATGAGCAAGCTCCGTGTGAGTGTTGTGTGCGTACTCGGCACAGAAACCATATATTGAGTGCTTGTACGAGTATTCAAGAATCAGAAGCTCCGAATGCAAAAGTGGCTACAATTTGTTTTGAGGTTAGCGATATACAGCTGATAAGGATCAGCCACCGCAGAAATGGTGCAAAACACGTCGAACCTGGTTTCGTTGTCGGGTCAGGCGGTGAACAATCAGCAGACACGCGCCGCCAAGATCCCTTCTTCTTTTTCTTTGGATATGAAGCTTAACACCGGACTATGTAATCCTTCTGGCATGATGTCAGCTCTTGCTGCGGGCAATTTAGCTCAGACATACTATTAGGAATGCAAATAGGTTAATAGATGCACTCGGCGATAAGAAAATCTACGTGGGCTTCTTGCTCTATTCTGATCAGAAATTGAGGAGGTTCGCTGTCTTAGGTGGCACGTTAAAATACTTTGGTCCAACGTTCAACGACGAGTACAACAATAGCAGACTTGTACAAAAACAAAATAAGAACAGTGACGAGTAATTGTGGCACGACCTACGGTCGAGTTTAGATGGCTAGTGCACCTTTAATCTAGGGAAACGGATGGAATTTCGATCACAGTCCAATTCGTGGTAACACATTTTAGAATCAATCAATGGCAAGCAAAGAACGCGGTGTGGGCTCACACATTACATCTGGACCGGCTATTCCAGGCAGGGACAAAGCGAAAGCGGAAAAGAGTGCTCCGACTTCATTTGCTTAATATCATCCTACTCCAAGAGGATGTAAAGCAAGCACTCTGGCTGGTCTGTCTCCGTGAGACGCAACTAGCCATGGGAGATAGCAGCCTACGGCCTGGAAACAGCACCGCCGACATGCACCGCGGATGGTAAGATGTACATTCGCCGATTTACTGTATTTTGCCGTAAGAAGACAGAACACCACCGAAGAAGACTCCTCGGAGCGAAAGCAATTACATATGGGTATTGCGGTACTGAAAAGTGCTGTAAATAGGCAACCTCAGTAAGAAGGGCGACCAATCGAGGGACACGCATAAAAAGTAATCGTGGGAATAGCTGAAAATGCACGTTTTTTTCGCTCCAAAAAAGGTCGAATTTATTTAGGGGCGAGTACCGGAGTATGCCTGTGACCTGTCCGAAGACGATGACGACATGCTGCTTCAGAGTATGAAGACATTCACAGCATCGAAGCGTCAGCTTATGCTCTGCACCTCATGTGCTCTGCCACTCCCCATTCAATGCGGTACAGGATACTGTCGTGTGACTGTACGCAGTGCAAAGCTGTCGCGCCGTTTGCGAAGTGTCCTTGGCGTGGCAAAACAGTCACGTGCCTGGCGTCAAATACAGTTACGCTTTGTGAGCTCGGCAAGCACTTTTCGGTGGACAGCCCACACAAAAAGCCTAAGATAACGCGCGCGCAGAAGGCGTTTATTCAAGACATGACCAGGGAAAACTTTCCACCACTTCGCATCTTACACGGCATGGCGCGGAAATTTGAAAAAAAACGCTTCAAGAGCTTCCGGAATTGTGGAAAGTTCAAGATGCAGTTAATCACTATCGACGGACAAAACACGGCGGAATTGACCGCTACATAGAACTGTCGTCTCCCGTAGTTGCCGCTGCGTATAACGGACGAGAGGATGAGCACGATGCATTCACGCTTGCGTCTAGAGCAGATGGGTTCGGCAAGCCCATTGTCAGTGATGACTCGGACGCTTACCTTTTTGTTGTGGGTTTTACTACAAAGTCACTGCTGCGCTCTCAGACCGAAGCCCTACATTCTTAGTTCTCCACACTGACGCAACATTTAAGCTAGCGCAAACTAGCTAACCTGTCATCGAATGCGGGATCTCGGATGGAGCGAGAAAGTTTCACTTGTTTGCATTCTTTCTTCTTTCACAATTGGAAGAACAACACTATACAAATGCCCTCACAGCCCTTGACGCCATCGATGCCAAAGTGATTGACAAGCGACCAAACGTCCATTACATAATGGGCGACGCAGACAAGGCTCCGTTCGACGGCCTAAGAAAACATTTTTGGTGCTTTTGGTGAGTACACGTTCCTTATGTGTTTTTATCATGTCGTAGCAAAGGTCCGACTTGCTCCAAAGGAGCGCACTTAGCGGCTGCATGATGACGCGATGGGCGAGGTGTATCGTGGTATCTATGATCTCCATTTTGCAAAAAGCAAGGAAGATTTTTGGCCCTGAAACCAAAGGCCCAGGCGGATTGGAGAGCTCACATGGAGCTGGACAAGTTTCGATCGTACATGGAGAAACAATGGTTACTGGGTAATTTCAGTAACAGGCACACCGCCCGGCTTCGCATCCACCAACAAAACGTGCGAGACTTTTAGCCGAGCTTTCAAGCGTGACAACACGCAAAAACGAAAGCTGAAGCTTGCTGTGCTGCTTCAGCAGATGCAGTACTGCTGCAGTCATCGGCCTATGTCACCGACAGATTTTGAGGCAATACGTACATCCGACAAGCGCCTGCTATCGCGCACGACAGCACTTCGACGCGGTGGATATCTCACCGAGTACGTGTTCAGCAAGAGCTGTATCAACTTCCAAGTGGATGATTTTAACGGTAGCATTGTCCGTGTACTTGCTAAACCACCGCTTCGATTCTACATCCCGTCGCGAGGGTGGTCTGAAGAAGCGCTCGGCGTTGCTGCCCAGTTCTTGGCGAGCTACGCCATAATGGAAATTGATGACCAGCCGAGCTCAGGCTGGCCTGTCGAATTGGAAGCGCAGTATTGTCCGTGTCGCTACCACTTCAAAATGCGAGACTGTGTACATCTTCAATTTGCACTGCAATGCCGCAACTATGTAGCCCGTGACGGCGAGCGCCTAATGGTGATTCGCAGTAGAAATCGAGGCTTAAATGTGGCTACCAGCGACGGACTTCCCCAAACGGTAGGGCGTCCAAGACATGCAGGTCATGCCCTTCATTGGGAATAGGTAGCACGCCCAAATACACACGCATTGGTTAATCAATCACTACCAGCATCAATGTTGACTACAGCCACATACTTTTTACTTGCAACAGCCTTACAGGTACCTTCCCCATCAACTTGTATGCATCTTGTCTTTATGGAGGCGGTCCCGCCAATCCAGCACTTACGTTTTCGTGGAGCGGTGGTATGCCACCAGCTCCAGCATCCTCTCGGTAGCGGATCTCGTCACACCAGCACTGGCAGTCTCGCACTATCCTCTGCAGTCACGCCGACAGTAGGGACAGCCTCGCAATTCTTCAGCGTCGTCAGCCACGCAGCCTGTTGCAGCCTCGCCGCCCTTAAGTGACGATAGACACGCTTCCAGCGTCTGCAGCACCGTCATGTCTTCTGTAGCGGCAGCCACACCTATGACACCGGCAACCTCAAAGTGCCCTCTGCAGCGGTAGTGTACACAGCAGCAGCGGTGCTTCGCAATGTCTTATTAAGTGTCAGATACGCCACCAGTGGCTGTGGGCTTAAAGTGAACCACTTGCCGCAGAGATATTTCTTGGGTCGTTCCTCGTGTCTCTGTTTCGCGGGTTGGCAAGCGATACGGGCTATCCCAAGGCATGTCCTTGTACGTGTGCTGAAATGCATCTTGCTGTGTTTGTCAGATATTTTACTGCGATTATGATATTTTATCATTATATTTGCTCCCCCAAAATTGGGTAGACTTAGTCCGTTTGCTTTTTTTAATTTTCAAAAAAACAAATTGCTTAAAAGGTTATTTCACGTGTTCAACATTTGAAAACGCTAGCACCATAACAGCATCGACTCCGATAATTGGTGCTGATGCAACACAAGGTTGCATTTACGCGTCCATAGCCTCCAAGCAGTAGCGTACCACCGATCCTACGTGCCAAACCTGAAGTAGTACTCGACCATACTCCAGATTTTTTGTTTGAAACGTTCGAACATGCTTGTTCAAGCTCCATTTCGCGACTTTTCAGCGAAACCACTGCACGCCAATACCGGGACCAGGGCCCCATAACGAGCCCGACAAACCTGAACTTGCCAAACTGATCTGGTTCTCGAGGTTTTCAAATGAAGATGAAAAATCATCATACCAGCTTCGGGAGAAAATACGTTTGTGGTCGAGAACCTTGAATTTGGCGCTTCATGCGGGTTGTTGCAGCTCATTCCAACTGAGCACTAGTTAGTGTTTTTCGACAGCAAATTTGAAGAGATCGAATAATTAACGCAATATTGCATTCGATGGGAATCGCAACCTTGCTCCTGTAAGGGCCATCAATTAGTTCATATGGGCTAACTTCAACGAGGGAAAGAATGCTTAGAATGCCCTAGCGGTAATAAACCGCATTTTTAAAGCAATATAACGCGGAGCATTAATGTAGGACAGTCAGTACACTAGGTATTAGAGAACTTTAGTTTCTGGAATAACTCGCTTTGGAATAAGAATTTTCTTCGTCCAGAAATATATTCCAGTGGAATAGTGAAGGGTCGCGCTATTCCACTGGAATAAATTATTGAAAAATTGATCAGTAATCTATCCGTCATTTATTCCGATTTTATCCAGATAATCGCTATTCCAACCTTGCGTATAAAGTTCTCTTTTGTACTACTACAGTGTAGTAGTAAATGGTAGATTGGTTTAAATGATATTAATACTACTAGCACTACTGCTGTATTTTAATAGTACAGTCTGTCCACGTTTTCCTTCTACTTTTCTAAATACTACAGTAGATACAAGTAATTTATTTTATTGTATAGGGGTCTTGTCTGCACCTTGAAATCCCACTCATTCTACGCAGTTACATTTAGCTCTATGTGGTGTTGGTTGGGTTCCCCGCAAGGGGTGACAAAAGCACTTCTTCGCGTTTAGAAGTTCGACTGGCAGTCAGCCTGAGCAGGAGTCTCGGGCGTCGAGGTTGTCGGGGTGGGTGTCACCGGGGCCTCCGTAGCAGGAGCATCCGTGACCGAGGCATCCGTCACCGTCGTTGGCGCAGGTATCGGGGCCTCCGTCTCGGCCTCACCCTGAACCACATCCACGTCCTGAGTAGCGTCCTGCAGCGTTGTCGAGCCGCTCGTGGTGGCACCGTCGCACTGCTCTGTTTCACCCGTACCGAAGTCCTGCGTCCAGTAGTGCTGGTATGTGCCTTCCTTGTTGAACGCGTACCCGGGGGCGAACATCGTGTACTCGCCCATGATGTTCTCCAGGTGCTCCGGTGAGTTGATCCACGCCACCATCACGGCGTCCACATCCACCTGACCGGCAGCCACGTTCTCAGCCACGGCGCTCCAGACGTATCCGGCCTGCGTGATACGCTCCGACATGGACGAGCCGTCCGAGCCGTCGTGGGCCATGTAGTCCTTGATAGCCATGTCATCCGAGTGACGCTGAGCAGCGGTGTGCAGCTTCTTGTTGAGGCACAGAGGCGACAGACCCTTGGTGGCGCGCTGCTTGTTGACGGCGGCTAGCATGGCCGGAGCGTAGTCATCGTAGGCCGCGTAAGTTTTGACGTTGGTGGCGATGGTGGTGCCGCCAAGGTTGCGCCGGCGGAGGTTGGCAGCCTCGGTGAGACCGCTGGAAGCAGCAGCTACTACGAGCAGAAGAGCGAGTGAAGATTGAACGATGGCCATCATGCTTAGAATGGTTTGTTTGTCGCTTCGAATGAAGATAGCAAATTCGTAAATGAGCTGCTGGTTTCTTAAACTTGGGCATTGCGTCGAGCGACGGGAGGCGGCCTGGCTAGCGCCTCTCTGGCATTACGCTTCACCGGATGGCATCATAGGGACACCTTCGCCAGTGCAACAATGTGAATCTGTGTACGTCTGGCGCGGAGCTTGTGGACTTCGTCGAGCCTACGAGTCGTATCCCGCGTGGTGTATTCCGGGAAAACAACTGTAAATACCCTCATGTTTAGTGTTTACCGGTATTAGAAAGTACTACTACTTTTACAAATATTAATACTATACACTCTTGTAATTTTAAAGGCTTAAGGTTGTCAGTACTACTGAAATGTGATAGCTGAAGCTTGGACGTAAATGTTCTCAAGACAATCGGGCGGGGGGGGGAGGGGGCACATGCTGTCAGCATGTGCCTGATGCTGATACAGTACAGCAACAAATGTAAAAGTGGATTTGCGCAGCAAAAGTAGGTTTGTTAGAAAAAATGAGAAAGAAGATATTAAATTTGACATGAGAAATAATTATTAAATAATTGTTTTTTATCGAATAATGTTTTGCACCAGATGGTTACATGTACTATGAGCCCATAAATACTGTCGCCATTTAGTTCTTGACAAAAAATAGTCTGAGCAACAACTTTTATACAGATGCTGTCCTGACACCAACGAAACATTTAATGCAAATAAGCAGCAATAATACTGGAATAAATTATTGGAATATCGATCGGTAATCTATCGGTCATTTATTCAGATTTTATCAAGATAATCGCTATTATCTCGCGATTATTCAAGCCTTGAATTATTCCAGAAACTAAAGCTCTCTAATATCATTTAAACTAAGCTGTGTTGCACACGGGGAAGCTCTGGATTTTTTTTGTAAAAACATCCTATTTTACTAAAGAATGACCTGTTTAATTAACTTGCGATACCTTTAAGTCTGTCGAATAAATGTAGACGGAGCGAGTTTCATGATAAAGCTTTTTATTCGCACTACTCCCAATTTATTTTGGCAAGGCGCAAAAGCGTCGAACATTTAAATGATCGCTTTGTGGAGGCTGAAGGTTTTGATCGCAGCATCATCAAATTTATTCAAAATCAAACTTTAAATATCCTGAAGAAGGGGGTAAAAGGCTTCGAAAAGCAATTTGATTCATAATCGTTTCGAAAACAGCCAATCAGCTTGGCATACAAATCGCCTAATGATGCATTTTTATCTAATCATATACGTAAGAAACTGGACATGGAACAATCAAACACACGAGTTTTTAAAAAAAAAAATTTTAATTATTTTTAGGACCGGAGGAGTCATATATACTAATATGAGCTAAAACTACAGCTGTGCACCTCTAATTCGGCAGGGAGGACCATATCAACAGTGCCAGGGCATAAGTGCACAACGTAAAGCAAAAAACAAACGCAAATCCAGTGCACTGATATTAGTTTTGTTCATTCCGTACAAAATTTACGTTTAGTTTAAAGACGATGCCTGTGTGGCACCAACAGTTTCTAATAGTCTTTGCAGATATGTTGTTCCAGCCTTCAAACAACCACTTCATGGCGGCGTAAACGTCGACCGGCGTGTAAGGAACACCCTTGTAGAACAGTTCGGAGTGAGAGCATGCAGGATCTAACTTGTGCTTCTCGCACAAAGACTGCTTTTGTGCTAGAGTTAGGGACATGTAGGAGGAAAAGCGATGTCCCATTGTCTTTGGCGGTAAAAATCGAAGTGCGTGTTTGTAAGAAGACGTCCGATCCAAAATTTAAAATCAGATCGATGCGGCGTGTCATCCCTTCGCGAGGAGGGAAAACCGTTGAGGTTAATTGCTAGGGTGGTGATGGACAAAGGTAATTGCGCATCCGATTCGCGTAATCATAAAATCTGGCAGGGTATCGACTGATACCGGTGCCGAATTGGAGGTGCACGACTGTAGCAGTAAATAAAATGTTAAGTGTTACCAGATACTTGTACCTACACATTTTCAGAATTATAGAACATATTTTCAGCACCATGACAGATCATCGGAAAAACAACCTGTCACCTTGCCGCTTCTGCCCAAGTTGATTTATATCATTGTATTCTGTATGTGGGGCCTAAGACGGTACCTTCAGTGAGGGACTTTCCGCAGTTCGTTCAATAAATCATGTCTAGATCTACTAGTATCTCTGTGATTGCTTCAAGCAGAGCTATTATCGAATTGCATCAACATTAAACACACTGACACATTCGTTTGTGCTTCCGTAAATACTCCGGTACTCACCCCTAAATAAATTCGACCTTTCTTGGATCGAAAACACGAGCATTTCCAGCTATTCCCACGATTATATTTTCTGCGTTTCCCTCATTTAGTCGCCCTTCTTACCGAGGTTGCCTACTTATAGTACGTTTCAGTACCGCAATACAATTGCATTCGCTTGAGGGGTCTTCTTCGGTGGTCTTCCGGCGAAATACAATAAATCGGCGAATGCACATCTTACCATCCGCGGTGCATGTCGGTGGTGCTGTTTCTAGGCCGTAGGCAGCTATCTCCCATGGCCAGTTGCGTCTCACCGAGACCGACCACCCCGAGTGCTTGCTTTACATCCTCTTGGAGTAGGAGGATAGTAAGCAAATGAAGTCGGAGCACTCTTTTCCGCCTTCGCTTTGTCCCTGCCCGGAATAGCCGTTCCAGATGTAATGTGTGTGCCCACACCGCGCTCTTGCTTGTCATTGATTGATTATAAAATTCGTTACCACGAATTGGACTACTACAGTGATTCCATTCGTTTCCACCAGATTAAAGCTGCTCTAGTCACCTAAACGCGACCGTAGGTCGTGCCACATTTACTCGTCACTGTTCTTTTTTTTTATACAAGTCTGCTACTGTTGTACTCGTCTTTGAGCGTTGGACCAAAGTATTTTAACGTGCCACCTAAGATAGCGAAACTCCTCCAATTTTTATCAGAATAAAGCAAGAAGCCCACGTAGATTTTCTTATCGCCAAGTGCATCTATTAAGCTATTTGCATTCCTAATAGCATGTCTGAGCTAAATTGCCCGCAGCGAGAGCTGACATCATGCCAGAAGGATTACATTAGTACGGTGCTATGCTTCATATCCAAAGCAAAAGAAGAAGGGATCTTGTTGGCGCGTGTCTGCCGATTTCTCACCGCCTGAGCCGACAACGAAACCAGGTTCGACGTGCGTTGCACCATTTCTGCGGTGGTTGATCCTTATCAGCTGTATATCGCTAACCTCAAAACAAATTGTAGCCACTTTTGCATTCGGAGCTTCTGATTCTTGAATACTCGTACAAGCACTCAATATATGGTTTCTGTGCCGAGTACACACACAATACTCATACGGAGCTTGCTCATTTGCTTGTTAAACGCATTTTCTTCGTCGCTCAGTGGCGCGCCACTAAACGGTGTGATGTGGGCATGTTGCCAGTAGGTAAGATATCCGTACATGACGTAGTACGTGTTGTCAATAGAAGGATACGGTGATGCTGCTTCAAAACGGGTTTCGCTTAAAATTAAACCAACATAACGGATTCCAGGATGGGCCACTAAATGGATGATAATACAGCCAGGTAGCTAGCATTTATGCGATACTTGGAATAGAGACGTCTGTCGTGATGAAGTTGATTCCATAGTGTCGATACAGCGTGGCAAATGACAATATTTTTAAGTACCGAAGTCCCCCTCAATAAGCGTAGAGGATCGTCTCATAACGATCAGTTACCCCTGCCCTGAATGGAGCATTTTCCAAATAATATGAGCTTCCGTATTACTATCTGAAACACAGTAGCTTGTCAACAGCTACTTTGCTAGATCAACTGGTCACCAACCAATCTGTTGATTGGTATACATCGCTCTGACGGAAGCGTTGAGCAAGTTTACGAAGTCTCATTCGAAAACCTAGTGCACATGGCTCGAAGTGCCATCCCCATTCCTGCTGCAGAGTTTCTGCGGCGTCTCGCCGAGGACAGCGCCTGAGTCCACGACGATATCGCCCAGGAGGCGGTGCTACAATGCTGCTTGTGGTTCACCCCAAGAAAAAGCCATGCAACGGCGAGCTGACGTCGAATGAGCTCGCTCACAATGCTCGGGTCTCGTCGGGTAGAGTGCTAGTGGAGAACTTTTTCGGGCGTGTGTGCCTCCTGTGTAGAATCATGCACAGCACGTTCAAGTGGAGCGAGTCGTCGTTCGACTCGTTTGCTCGAACGTGCTTTGCATTACCAAACTTCCACACTGACATCAACCCACTCCGGGTTGACGATGGCCGGTTCTACCGGTCCGTGACGGGCCAATACGCCTCAATGGCGGAGCAAAAGCGATCAGGACTTGCATCCATCCAGCGACGCTATCGTCGTCGCCGGACGCACGCTTGGCTGCTGACCTAAACATCCCAACGAGGCTGTCGTTCTCCCCGTCGTTCTCGTCAGCGAACTCGCAGTAGGATTTTGAGGAGACTTAGTGAGACAGTAAGCGTAGCGAGCTAATTAATTACACAGTTTAATCGCAAATATACTGATGACTAAACAATACCTATCCATTAGAGCTCGCCATCGATGAGCTGATAGTTCAATACCTACTGCTCAAAAAGACAAGCTAATCATAATAGACTCGATCTATTGCAAACCAGAGCAGTGATTTAGTGAAATATCCACCAGAAGTCGGAAAATACAATTCTGTATTGTATTGGTGGCAAAGTTTTGCCGTAATAAAAATTCCAATATGAGCACTTCCAATAATAAAAATTGCCGTAATTTAAATTTATTGGACCAATATCTAGCTACGTCTTGCCCTACCGCGTACTCTTGCACCAGCCATGATCCCCGTGAATATGCTTGCCCGATAGTCAACTGACCAAGCCACGCCAAGCTCCTCATTATTAAACGTCGTTATCATGTTCTGTGGTAGGTCTGACGACGGCTGCCAAGTTAATTCTTGAAACCCCACCCAAGAAACTAAATAGTAGTCTTGCCCGTCTTTGACTAGTTCTCTTAGCGTATATTAAATCTGCAACGTAAAAGTCGGGGCCATCTTCAGATTCTGAAGATTTATCTTCTGAGTCCGTGTTATCCTTGAGAGCCTTCAAGAAAGACCGTCACCAGGGCAATTCAGCTGCTTCCTTCGCCATTTCCATAAAACTTTGCCCCGGGTTGTCAGGTAGATTAGTTTTTTTTATCTTCTTCTGTCGTTTGGCGTAAGCAAGTGCGTGGAGTTGCATGTTTCGTTTGATTTTACGTGGTACTGCTGGCAAATCTGGAAATGTATTTGCTGCTTAAGGGTGCACTAAGTCAGGCAGAGGCTGGGCCTACATTTCTTATCTAGAGGACGATACATCACCTTCATGATATGAGGTGATTATTCTCGACAAGATGACGAGTCAATAATACTTTTCTTGACTGGGCATCTTGTCAGAATAAATTTTATAAGTGACTCATCAGAATGATGTGACAACCGATAATTTTGTTCTATTTTTACAGCTAAATTATGACACTGTATCCAAATTTATCCATATTTATTGAATTGATATGGTGGAATAATACACGATATATGGTAGAGCATGGGGAATGATGTTATGTAAATCGCTGCTACTCTTCCAATACTTAGCTTCTAAGCTCAAATAAAACCTTAATCCGTAGCCAAGCCAACAGACAAAATTACATTGTTACGATTTAAAAACCCAGTGTAAATCACTGCATATAGATTGATTTTAAGAATGACAGAGTCCACAAACCATAAAGGTGTGTATTGATATAATAGCAAATCAAGCACACTATTTATTCGCTTTGTTCCTTGGTCACATCCGCTACAGGAGTAACGTCCCACATATCGCGGTTAACACGAAGAAACCAAGCTGTTCGAAGTGCGAATTGGTCGTCTCGAATCAGCAGCTTTCTCCGTCAGATAAAGTAGAGACGGCGTGTTCAATGGTGCGTGAAGCGATCAAGAATAATCGGCTTATTTTCGAGCAGATATGCTGGAGCTGTTCAAGAGAACTATGGACAGCTGCTTGGAGGTGCACAAGGACGAGCTCTTCGACTTCAGAGCCAAGGCCGAGCAGGTGTTGAAGGATTCACGCGCCCACTTTAATCAAGAGCTCAAGCGAGAAGTGGACCAAAATTCCAGCTTACAGAGCTACTTCTTTGAAAATTTCAGCGAGCTGGAGCAGGTCCACCTCGCTGTACAGTCAGTTGAAGTGCCGGTCACAGATACCACCCAAGTCGAGATCAGCCAAGCTCAACTCATGCAGATGCAGAGCATCCTGCAGGAGAATCGCGAGCTTCGTGTATCCGTTGATTGACTGCACGGCACCGTCAACCAGCTGTTGCAGACTTTCATCAACCAGCACTACCGGCTCAACAAGCTCGAGCAACAATTTCAGCCCACGTCAGAGCGTCCGCAACCCTCTACATCGTCGCGTCAGAAAACCAAGGTGCAAGTCCAAGAAACCGGGGAAGGAAGTAGCAGTTACGCGTCCTTTCAAGCTCTTGCGAACAAGCTTCTTCTGGATAGTGAGTACCAGAAAGTAGCAGAAACAACGCAGGGCAAGCTACTACTGCCACGAAAGCCATATCTCTATCTCGCACTTTAATTCTACCTGCGCGAGCCAACTATTACATTGCATCTTTAAGTTAAGTTTTATGTCAACTTTTAGTAATGTTTTTTGTCAACTTGAAGTCAACTTCAAATATGCATCCAGTGAAATGATAGTCCAATACTACATCTGTTTAAATAATAAAGCCAACTTCAAATATGCATCCAATAAAATGATATTAATTTTTAAAACCCAAAATGATCATCTGCCTGTGAATAGCTGCAACGTGAGAGCAACACAAACTTGAAACTGAGAAAATCATTTCACACTCCCCACAAGATAGTACATTGCGGCGATTCTGTCTCTCTCGTCGTAATACACGGTGCTCTTCTGCGGCTGGAGTGCTTCTGCAGTAATACCGATGCTGGCGAATACGATCCGAAACGCTGTCAGTGTGCCCGCAAAATTGGCACACAAACAACGTGTTAGAAACCACATCAGGGACCCATTTCTCACCTTTGAAAAATAGGTAACAATGAAGTCTGTAGTTTGAAGTACTGCATGCAACACTGTGAAAGTAGATCTCTACGAAACACGATAGCATAACATATGAACGCTCGGGTATTCGAAGCATCCCGTGAAAACGCGTAGTCTTGTATTTTCCTCCAAAGCCACAATAACACTCGCAGGAATAGTACCAGGAAACTTGCTCTCGATTAAAGCCCGCACTTCTGCTGTGTAGTCTTGATGTGCCTCTTGAGCAGCTCCGCCAGGACGAGAGTGCATGTAGGAAAAGACGCAAGGTACGTACCTTTCATCGCGATCCAATGCGTCCTCTTGAATAGATTTAGCAGCAACACGCAGTGTAGAGGTCATGCGTACCACGCGCGACTGACTCCGAAATGGTTCATCACTAGCGCCGCCACCTTCTCGAAAAACAGGAGTGTATGTACGTGTTCTAGCTTCAGCTAGTAAGGTGTAATCGTTGTAGGCTCCAGCTGAAGAGACACAATGGCGTAGCCAGATGAATGAAAGCTTGGACGCATGCTGCCTCAGTAGTTCGAGTTTCTCTGATAGCTATTTGTATAATGAAGCCACTTTTCGTCGTCAACGGGCTTTCCATTTCTAAGCGTTGGCGACGGATAGTACTAGTTTTGGGCGCACTCGTTTATTTTTGCAAGGGCCCCTCTTTTGGCTGGCGCGTGTCGACGCTGTATCAAAACTGCCGTTTTGCAGCTTTCGACCCGGCCTTGGTGACGCGGTTGATGGAGATCCTGTTCTTGGCAGAGCTCCGGTCGCAGGTTGTGTACGCTGACTTCAGTAAGACCATCGTGTGTACCACGAAAACTCGATGCGAGACGCAGACCTTCATCCTGCAGCTTGTCGTTTTGTTCACAGCTCATTGCAAACACCATCAGTGTGTGCGGATCAACACTGTGTCTAGCGCTGTCGCTGTTTGGACGCCGTCTACTGCTACAACCCCGTGGTGTTTGCCCAGTGCACTAACGCGACCGGCGGCGTGTGCTGTTTCGACTGTGGCAGAATGGGCGACCCGTCGTACGGCGACACGATCTCGTACGGAGTGACGGCCGTTGTCAAGACCGGAACGTACATTCCTTCACTTAGAGTGGCGTTGAAAACGTTACGTTCATCGCCGAACAAAAAAAGACCGTGACGAGGGTCCGTTAGCGATGAAGATTGCTCCACCGAAGTGCTTATGAAGCTTGCGAGCAGCACCTACCTTTTCAAACGGTGGCATCAACGTCGGTGATGAGTCGGGAACCAGCTCTTCTAGCAGTGACAAGGCTACCAGTGGAGCTGAAAACGCCAACGTTGTGGAGGTTTCCATGAAAATTATGTAGTTGAACGCGTCCACAGCGTACATTCAGTGTATCTGTTTTTGTTATAAATTGCTGTCGTGCATCTAATTAATGCCGGCACATCCAGGCAGCTACCATTGCAGTACAGTAGTAACTGCGTCGTAGTCTACAGGTTTGAGTATGGTGTCGAGCCGTATGCCCTTCCACCCGTTTGAAGCTAACTGCACCCTTTTGCTCTCCACTGCAGACTTTTAGCTTAAGCGTAGATACTTAGCAGTAATTTTATCGCGCGATTAAAAGTAAATCATTAAAAGGAAAAGAACTGGACTTGGTCGCTGCCCTGGGCTTGGCTCTGAGCTTGGTAGCTGGACCGTCGCCACTTCACTCTCGTCCGCGTCATGATGCTCTCATCCCAAACATTTGAGCTGCAGAAGGCGGCGCGGTGGTGTCAACACTATCTTGCACTGGAAAAATAGCCGCTCAACGATGTTGGAAGTTGCCGGTATCATCTCCACCAGAGGCATATACTGTGTCATGCTTGGCGTCGCGCTGCGCTTCTTTCCTCGACGGGTCCTAGCAGGGAACCTTTAGCTATATTTATTGTCAATAATTGGTCCAGTACCATATTGTATTGTTAAGGTCAACTACCAATAATAAACATTTATATTGCAAAACCCAATAATTTATTGAATCGCAGTTATTATTTCCGACCTCTGATATCCACCATTTGGGTTTGTTACCTACTGTACTACAGAAATTTGGAACACCTCATTCAGCGTGCGTCTTGCAGCGCTATCTGCCCAAGCTCAAGGCTCCCGAATATCAACACGCACATAGCCTACAGATAGTGTAAGCCTGCGCCGAATGGTACAATATGGTTGGGGGAAGGGGGGGGCAGGCCTTCCGATAATACAACTGCAATGAGATTCTTGCTTTTTAGTGAAATCAGTAACTGCAGGGAAATATTCGATATTGACAAATACGTAATTGTCTCGATAAGAACAATATCACGTCACTACTTCCAATTGCGTTGTCAAAGACATGGTGATTTGAATAATGGGAAGAACCGAGCTGGATACACTCCCAAGGACTTGCCACCCAACCAAGCAGTGGTTGGTCTTCAGTTTTGCTTTGCTGGGATTGAGTAGTTTTGTGAAGCATGGGCTACAAATAATTTATGACGATACTGGACATATCTTACTGAAAATTTTCATCATAACTAAAACAAAATTATTCCATACAAATATTGCCATATTATTTTCACTGCAATGTATTATTCCGGCTAATAAAGTTTGATTTCGAATCCTCAAGTTGTTCATTTATTGTATAGGGATTTAAGTTGCACCTTGAGAATCTACGCAAATACGTGTAGCTCTATGTGGTGTGGATGGGTTCCCCGCAAGGGGTGACAAAAGCACTTCTTCGCGCTTAGAAGTTCGACTGGCAGTCAGCCTGGGCTGGAGTCTCTAGCGTCGAGGTCGTCGGGGCGGGTGTCACCGGGGCCTCCGTAGCAGGAGCATCCGTGACCGGAGTGTCCGCCACCGGAGCCTCCGTCGCAGGAACATCCGTGACCGTCACAGACGTTGGTGCAGGTGTCGGGGCCTCTGTCTCGGCCTCACCCTGAACCATGTCCACGTCCTGAGTAGCGTCCTGCAGCGTTGTTGAGCCGCTCGTGGTGACGCCGTCGCACTGCTCTGTTTCACCCGTACCGAAGTCCTGCGTCCAGTAGTGCTGGTATGTGCCTTCCTTGTTGAACGCATACCCGGGGGCGAACATCGTGTACTCGCCCATGATGTTCTCCAGGTGCTCCGGTGAGTTGATCCACGCCACCATCACGGCGTCCACATCCACCTGACCGGCAGCCACGTTCTCAGCCACGGCGCTCCAGACGTATCCGGCCTGCGTGATTCGCTCCGACATGGACGAGCCGTTCGAGCCGTCGTGGGCCATGTAGTCTTGATAGCCATGTCATCCGAGTGACGCTGAGCAGCGGTGTGCAGCTTGTTGTTGAGGCACAAAGGCGACAGGCCCTTGGTGGCGCGCTGCTTGTTGACGGCGGCCAGCATGGCCGGAGCGTAGTCATCGTAGGCCGCGTAAGTTTTGACGTTGGTGGCGATGGTGGTGCCGCCAAGTTTGCGAAGGTAAGACGCATCAGTGCTGGATGCAGCCGCCACGGTAAGCAGCAGAGCAAGCGAGGACTGAGCAATGTTCGTCATGATTATTTATGGTGGCGTTGTATTATAGTGAAGTTGATTTCGATGTGGATGGAGTATTGCAAATTGGATAATGAGACTTTGCCGGTGAGGTCGATCGATCGATGCACGGATCCTGCAGAGACCACGAATACATGTACAGAGCTCCGGTCCAGCGTTGTGACCCGATGCATTTTCGGAAGTTGCACGTGACGGATAGGAGTGCCCCTGGCCTTGGTCGCAAGTCGTGCTGGAAGACTTTGCAGACAAAAACACTTGCTCTTTTGACGACAAGACATGTCGGCCACGAAATTAAGTCCACGTGCTGGAGCGGAAGATTGCAAAGGGTCACGACAGCGTTGTCAATTGGGTCTGGACCGGACAGTTGGGCGTCATACCATATCTTTAATCTGCGTACTGTTTTAATACCGGTAGCTGAAATATAGCCTACAGTATGATTCAGCGAAGTGCACGCGAGGACGCGACAGCTTCGTGCATTGTACTGTACGTTGGGAGTGTTGCCGACCGCACTTTCTGACCGTAGTTCCTACAGTGTACATGAATTAATAAAAATATCATACATGTTCGTACATGAGGCTTCTTTGGGCAGCGTAAGTTCGGTAAAAGCAATGAAAAAAGTATCGCCATTACAGAATTACGATACGGTCTTCGATAACGGACGGCATCAAAGCTACGGACACCCAATACGATAGCAACAATCTAAAACCTTCGTCGCAGTGCCGACGTACACACACGCACGGATCATCGAGCTAACGGCTGTCAGGAACGAAGTAGTGAAAGCTTTGAGCTCCATTCGAGAGCGCTTCGAATGTTGAACTGCTTTCGTCTCTGTGCGCAGCTCGTGATAATCTCGACTCGAGTCGAGACTCTCGAGGTCGCCCAGCTGGCAGTGACATAAGCGAAATGGCGGTGCAATGCGACTACAGCAAGCGCAGCTTGTTCCATTCGATCGACCAAGGCAGGCAGCTGTTTTCAACGCTCGCGGTGGATTACCACACGGGACAGACAAGCGGCGCACCGTTGCGGTGGCCCACAATCTCCACACCAGACGGGCGTAGAGCACTACACCTTTGCTGGAGTGTGTGGTCACGCAACCAAATGGGGTTCACCGGCAAAGTCTCATTATCCAATTTGCAATACTCCATCCACATCGAAATCAACTTCACTACAACGCCACCATAAATAATCATGACGAACATTGCTCAGTCCTCGCTTGCTCTGCTGCTTATCGTGGCGGCTGCATCCAGCACTGATGCGTCTTACCTTCGCAAACTTGGCGGCACCACCATCGCCACCAACGTCAAAACTTACGCGGCCTACGATGACTACGCTCCGGCCATGCTGGCCGCCGTCAACAAGCAGCGCGCCACCAAGGGCCTGCCGCCTCTGTGCCTCAACAAGAAGCTGCACACCGCTGCTCAGCGTCACTCGGATGACATGGCTATTAAGGACTACATGGCCCACGACGGCTCGGACGGCTCGTCCATGTCGGAGCGAATCACGCAGGCCGGATACGACTGGAGCGCCGTGGCTGAGAACGTGGCTGCCGGTCAGGTGGATGTGGACGCCGTGATGGTGGCGTGGATCAACTCACCGGAGCACCTGGAGAACATCATGGGCGAGTACACGATGTTCGCCCCCGGGTATGCGTTCAACAAGGAAGGCACATACCAGCACTACTGGACGCAGGACTTCGGTACGGGTGAAACAGAGCAGTGCGACGGCGTCACCACGAGCGGCTCAACAACGCTGCAGGACGCTACTCAGGACGTGGACATGGTTCAGGGTGAGGCCGAGACAGAGGCCCCGACACCTGCACCAACGTCTATGACGGATGCCCCCGTCACGGATGTTCCTGCGACGGAGGCTCCGGTGGCGGACACTCCGGTCACGGATGCTCCTGCTACGGAGGCCCCGGTCACACCCGCCTCGACGACCTCGACGCCAGAGACTCCAGCCCAGGCTGACTGCCAGTCAAACTTCTAAGCGCGAAGAAGTGCTTTTGTCACCCCTTGCGGGGACCCATCCAACACCACATAGAGCTACACGTATTTGCGTAGATTGAGTAATATCTCAAGGTGCAACTAAACCCTATACAATAAATGAACAGCTTGAGTATGGGAAATCAAACTCTGTTAGCCCCCCCCCCCCCCCCCCGACGATATCGTATCATTCGGCGCAGGCCTACACTATCTGTAGGCCATGTGCGTGTTGATATTCGGGAGCCTCGAGCTTGGCCAGACTAGCAGATAACGCTGCAGCCTGCAGGACGCACGCCGAACGAGGTATTCCAAATTACTGTAGTACTGCACTACAACTGAAAGATACCTTTAAGATGCTATATCGATATTTTGCTCAAAACAAACTAAAGTAATATTTATATTAATACATGTTCTGAGTGACATGTTCGCTGGGTTACCGTTGCAAGGTTACTACGACGAGGTGCGTATCTGTAGAGACTGCTCACCGATCAGCATCCCGATTTCATCTCTGAAACAGGGTACGCGTGTCCTTGTGTACGGCATTTTGATCGGACGCGTGGTCCAAGTGAGCCTTTCTGAGGGTATAGAACTTGTAAGTGTGGAGCTGGAGAAGCAAAGTAGCGACGTGCGGAGCTTTGCCCTGCACTACGTACAGCTGTACTCGGACGCGGTTTTATCGGCGAACCGGATCAAGAACGCGATCCGACAGCATCTAGCGTACTTAGTTTACCGAACTCGTCTCAACTTCAGCACTTGGAACATGCTGGAAGCGATGCAGGAGCAGCGAACTATGCAAATGATGCGCTTCGTAAAGAAGTCGATGAGCATCAACGAACTGCACTCCATGATGCCGCTACTTGGTAGACGAAACACGCTGGACGGCGTCGTTCTGGAAAAAGAGCGAGTCAAAGCTTTGCTCACGCATTATCGCGGAGTTCGTGTGCTGTTCCCTCTACGACTCATCACAGTGAAAAGACTGATCAACCAGTTCCGCAATGGTATTCTTCTGCATCCTGTCTTTGTTTGCCGCATCCTGGACGAGGTAGAAAAACTGTTTCTTACCCAGCACGAGTCACCTATGAACGCGATCGATATCCCTCCCGGAGTGAGAATGGTTGTTGTCGGGGATCTTCACGGACAGCTGGAGGATTTGTTGACGATTATGGAGAAGAATGACGTTCCAAGTAGTAAAACGTGGTATCTTTTCAACGGAGACTTCGTGGATCGTGGGGCACATGGAGTCGAGATTATGCTGTTGCTACTTGCGTTCAAGCTAATGTACCCTGCGTTCGTGTTTTTGAACCGTGGTAATCACGAAGAGCGCATGATTAACGAAATCTTTGGGTTCCAAGCCGAAGTGTACGCCAAGTACGGCAACGGATGGAGTGGTCTCGGGTCATCGGCTAACTATTCGGCACCGAAACTTTTTCAATTGTTCGAGACGGTCTTCAACTTGTTTCCAGTTTTTGCGTTAGTAAATCGGTGCATTTTTGTAGTTCACGGAGGTCTGAGCAGCCACAAGAATGTCACGATTGAGGAGCTTCTCCAACTTGACCACCGAGGAGAACCAACTCAGGGAACGAGTCGTGTGGACGAGCTGCTCACGCATCTTCTGTGGAGCGATCCATGCGAAGAAGAAGGTTGGAAGCCTTCTAGTCGGGGTGCTGGCGTGGAGTTTGGTCCTGATATCACCAAGGCATTTTGCAAGCGGAATGGCATTAGCCTCATCATCCGATCCCATGAATGTCGAGAAGAAGGGTTCGACATCGTTCATGACGGCCTCTTGTTGACGGTATTCTCGGCCTCAAACTACTGTGGCTCTCAAACCAACAAGGGGGCTTATGTTCTGCTGGAACGCGGAGATAACAACGCGATCCCAGCCTCGCGTGGCGCAATTTTCTTCGCAACCGCTGCAACAACTGAAAGCCGCTGGGAGGAACGAGTGGCGGGAAAAAGCTCGCCGTCTGGAACAACAAACACTGGAATCTCTCCTGCAGATCATCTGCGAGAACCAGAATGCGTTGCTCTTCTCTTTTCAGCAAGCGGATACAACGAGGTGTGGGTGCATTCCGAAGACTGCCTGGAAAGCAATTTTGCAAAGGGTGCTCGGGATCCAAGCCAACTTTCTCTCGTATTTTCATCAACTGGCTGCAGAATCTGATAAAGGAGGCGTCGATTATGAAGCGTTTCTCTCGAAGTCGCACTATGCTTTGAAAGTCTCCGCAGCTGAAGTAAACGGCGTATTGTAATACACAACTCCTTGCATGTCTATCGTATCTTGAAAAGAGTTAATGAACACATTGCTCCGTACTTCGTTTTATAAAAATGACAGTTTTTTTCTTGAAGTTTAAAAAACTCCTTTTGTATGCTATTTAGAAAAAGTGCTTTTAATAACTTAAACTGTTTAATAAAGTTAAAGAAAGACATAAAGGTGGAGATACTGAACCACACGACACTTATTATCGCCTGCTGAAGAAGTTCTTACTTATGTCACCGACTTGGTGAGAACATTCTCTCGTCCTTGTCGACTGATGGAGGAGGACAGAGCATCTGTGCGAAGTGGTCATCCTCGACTTGCATGGTCTGGTACTGGCCGGTCGCATCCGCCAGTAACCGCGCCACCATGTGCTTGCACTGCACCAACAACACCGTCAATCCCCGTGTATTTTCCACATCCTAAGTGCAGCTCCGTACCATGGCTGTCGAGTGCGACGTCACTGTCGTCTCATGGAATGCCATGCACGTGCAGTAGTGGCTGAAGCAATTGTAGTAGTTTGCTCCGCTGCCACTCACCATGGAGTCGTCAAACGGCTGCGTCACACTATCCATTGACATGTCGACGTCCTTTTGATCACCTCTTCGTTTATATTTATTTAGCGATTCAACGCGGTAGAATGTCCGCATCGACGGAGTCGCCGACACCTTCACTACCAGGTCTCTCGCCACCAATTCGCTAGCTGCTTGCAGCAGGCGCAAGTCGTCCGGAGACATAGACGCCAGCATCTCCCCATGTGCATCTGTGAACTGCCGCATCTCGCTCTGCTTGACCTCTAGCGCCACGCGTGTCAGCACACTGACACCTACGACGGAGCTCATCTGGCTGGGCAATGCAAGGGTGAATGGCGTGGTATACACCATCTTCTTATCGTTTTGATTTTCAGCCAATCCACAGCAGTTGTTTGTTTTTTCCTAAACTTGACCTCACATTTATACCTGACCATGTGGGAGTTAGTGTTCCGCAATGGCGCGCGAATGCTGCTGGGGTCGACGGCAATGGGCGCTGGGGGCGTCACATACGCTGCACACTCGGACGAGGGCTTCAATCGCTCTCTGTACTTCTGGCGCAAAGCCTTCCCCATCTACCTGCACTACCGAGCAGCTCAGCTCTACATGGAGCACGCTCAACTGTCGGACGAGGAGCAGGACGCCGAGTACGAGAAGCTCCACGAGAAATACGCACCTGAAGTGTTCGATATTGTACTAGAACTCAAAGGATTCTACGTAAAGCTGGCTCAAACAGGCTCCACGAGGCCCGACGTGCTACCTAAACAGTATCTCGACCGGGCTGCCAAACTCCAGGACGACGCGCCAGCTAAGCCCGTGGAGGAGATCTGTGCCATTATTGAGCAGAGCTACGGTAAACCCATCGATCCGGTGTTCCAGTCGATCGATTCGAAGCCTCTAGGAGCCGCGTCTATTGGTCAAGCACACCGAGCAGTGCTACTCGATGGCCAAGAAGTGGCTGTAAAGGTGCAACATCCAGACGCTGAGACGTTCTTCCGTTGGGACATAAAGACGATTCAGGACTTCTGCAGATACTTCCAACCGGTGCATCTCCCATATCTCGTTGAGGTCGAGAAGCAGTTTATGACGGAGTTTAACTACGTGGAAGAAGCCAAGAACTTGGGTACAGTGCGGAGGAATATCGCCAAGAGTCCGTATGCTGCTAAAGTAGCCATCCCAGAGCCAAGAATGGAGCTGTGTACTAAAGAAGTACTCGTAATGGAGTTTTTAAAAGGTCGAAAGCTACTCGATGGCATTCAGGATCACTTTGAAGCCATCGCAGCGGATAAAGGAGTGACGGTGGAGTTCTTAAAACGCGATCAGGAACGGAAAGATAAGGAACGAGAAGCAAAAGGACTCGATATCGAGGTGGGTCCTTCTTCCATGCAACTGCGACTCTATGGGTGGACACTAGGAGCCAAGCACCTGGCTCGACGTATTGGACGAGCGTCGTACGACTTCACACTGGGGTTGGTAGCCCCGAACAAGTGGACAGTGCGAGAGGATGCACAGCACCAGTTGCTTAATCTTCCTGAGATATTGAAGCTCATAATGGATGTCCATGGCTACGAGATCTTCGTGGATGGCTCGTTCAATGGAGATCCTCATCCAGGGAACATCCTGCTGCTCGAGGACGGACGTCTAGGCCTCATCGACTACGGCCAAGTGAAACATCTCTCGAAAGAGCACAGGATTCACCTGGCCAAACTGATCGTAGCGCTTGCAGGGGGCTCCCGTGACGAGATCATTGAGGTGCTGACGAAGGAGATGCGCGTCAGAACGACGAATATGGACCCATATTTCCTGGAGAAACAAGCGCGCTTGATGATTGACAATGACGACCGAACTGTCACGGAAGGGATGAACGCACAGCTTTTTCTCGAGCACTTGCACACGTACGTACCGTGACATGGTACAGTGTTTGGTCTTATATAACTGACAAAGCCGCTGTGTCTTATTAGGATCGATCGGATTGAGTACATTCCTGACGAGTATGTGATGGCTTTCCGCTGCTCGTTGCTACTACGTGGCTTTAGCTATCTCCTGCATTACAAGTGTTCCCATGCTCAGAGTTGGGAAGGAATCGCTAGACAGGTACTTCGAGAGGCTGAAGCTGACACTGCGAACTCCTCGACACGCGTCTCTTCTTCGTAGATGTATTGAACTTACAACTCATTAGACAATGTAATAGAAGTAGTATTAAAAGGGATACATTATGTTTACCACACAACTTTCGTTAGTGTCACAAAACCGGCGCCATTTCGAATTTGGCGCCATGAGTGACAAACCGGCAGAGGAAGACGTCGCGGCGTCGCTCGCTGCAGCATCGCAGAGCTGGAACTGGCTGGCGCTATCTCAGAAGAGCAGTGAGTCCAGCAGCAGCTCTTCAGGTCGCGTTGGATCCGTTCAAAGTCAGCACAATGCCAAGCGACCATTTTTAAATCGACCACCGACCAACACACATCGGGACCATCCCAAGCCCAAGACAATCTCTACCGCCACCGAACGTGAACAGTCTGTCAAAGTTAATACTGGAGATCTGGAAGAGTATTCAAGGCTTCGCATCGCTGATCGAACCATCTCGGCGGAGGCGCTTCGCCAGGAGATGGAAGGACGCAAGCTCATCAAGTTGCAGGAGATGGACCGCGTTCCTAAAGACACATTCGTCAATGGAGAGGTCTGTCATAATTTATACTGAAAAGCCGTGACCACGTCTGATTTTATACTGCTGATTGTAGGTCGACTGGGTAACGATCGGTGTCCTAACACGAAAGACGCTGTCGAAACCAGCAGCCAATGGCTCAACCTTCATGGTCTGGGGCTTGTCCGACCTGGACGGGACCGAGTTGGGCGTCTTCCTCTTCGGTGACGCCTATGCGAGCCACTGGAAGGAGCTAACAGGATCCATCGTAGCAGTTCTGAATGCGACATTACTGCCAGCGACAGAGAAGAACAAATTTGCCTTCAAGGCAACGCAGCCAACTGAGCTCGTGAAGCTGGGGAAGGCGGAGGATTTCGGTATTTGCAAGGGCACGACCTCGGGCGAAGCGCGTTGCCGCCTCGCAGTCAACACGGCAAAGGTGAGATCCGTCTTCTGCTTGTAGAATCGACTGGGGTTTCTTTTTAACGCTTTGAATTGCTCCGATATTATAGTCACAATACTGTTTGCATCATATCGCCGCGAACTTCATGCAGGCAGGACGAGGCCGTCAGCAGCTCAATAATTCAACGGGAAGCTTGCGGAAGGCACTGTTTGCTGGTCTAACAAAGCCTAAGAACTTGTCGGCGGGGGTGTACACGTCAGCTCCGTCAAAGTCGAGCAGCTCTGGATGGAACCCTATCATCACCAAGAAGCGGAAGCGCAACGATGCAGCTGGTGGAGTTCTGGGAGTGCCCACGGTGTTGTCGGCGTCGGGCGCCGTTGTGCAGCGCGGTAGAGCACAGTCCGATCGTTTTGTAGCTACAAGTGCTCCAAGTGAAAGGCGACGAGGTACCATGAGTCTCATGGATCAACTCCGAGAACCCCCTGCGTCCATGAACTCGGTTGCTCGGTCAAGTGCGACTGCTAAGCAACCTTCCAGCAGAGCCCAGAAGATTATGTACGTTTTTGACCTTGTTTTATTGTTTTTTTTAAAGCTGGTGCTGACGCACTTACAGGTCTGCTGTTCTGGCTGGAAGTGGGAAACCGATGAAAAGACCTAAGACGAAGAAGGTGGACATGATCCAGTTCATGAATTCGGGATCTCAGGTGAAAAAGTAATTATTCTGTTGGGGGGGGGACGAGGGTTAATTATCTAAGATGTCATGGAGACACCTTACTGCTTCGACAAGGTGGCGTTAGTACTACGGACGTCGAGGTTCGTAAAGAGTGACGGAGTGTGAATCGCAAAACAGCCATTGGGCGGCAGTATCTCGGCGTGGACCTCCGTCGATTCAACGACCCAGTGTTGGTTAATCTTACTGAGTCCGAGTGACGTAATACAGACCTTTGAAACGGAAGCTTCTATAGAAGCTTACTACTGTCTTTCAGCGTAAAAACAGCTCAGCACCAAGGATACTAAGCGCTCTTGACTCCTGCTTGCAATTGGGGTTTTTGAAGGCTGGGGTAAAAATCCAACAGCTCGTCCGCTGATATTGTGGTAGAATCTCCACTATTATTAATATCATCATCGACAGCAGCATTTGACTTGATTTTTTTTATGATTTACCGGTATAGAAATAGACCGAGCCATGACCAGGTCCATTAACCAATTATTTTAGTAGGCAAGTACAGTCATACTTGGTTTTATATTTTTCTAACACCTCATTTTACTTACTGGTATTAAAATAAGGATTGAAGGTTCTTCACGGATAATAAGTCGGCGGTCGCGGTCTAAGTCAATAGACCCGACAAGTGCCAGTCAGGGAAGCAATTGAAGGCGGACAAATAAGGATCATAGCGCGTTTTCCTGTGCCTTCCGACGAGGGCCAACTAGGCTGATGCGGAGGCTGGGATATCTAGTTTGAAGTATGCTGAAAGGAAAAACGCCTGCAGTGGTTTGTAAAAATATGCAGTACTGAAGTGACACAATATTTCATAATGTGAAGTAAATTATTTAAAAATTAAATAATGGGATAAATGTAGTGGCCACCCCCAGGGGTCTAAATAAAACAATTCAGTATCACTAAAATCAGCTCTTCACAAAAAAAATGAATTATTAAATCAATTCTTGCAGTAGAATATTTAAAAGCAAGGCCTTCCAGATATAAGCTAGAAACGGCGTATCGTGTATATCACATCATTTTGCATGCATTGCCACATAGCAAAAAGTGGATAACTTGCTGATGTATAATGCCTAATTTGCTTGTATTCTATGATTTGTAAAAACTACTTACGCATTTAGTTTCAAAAGAGGTGAAAGGTGCACCGTGATTTATGGTACAGCGAAATCAAGCACACTTCGTACCATCTTCTTGCAGCTTGAGTTGGCTACATCTCTAACAAAAAGGGCATAGAAAAAGGCGTCGCATGCACAGCAGATGTTGCTCAGTAAACAACTTCCACAAGCATTGTTTGTGACAGGAGACTACAGCCTGGTGAATAAAAAGCTACGATGCTAATAAATTAAAAAGCGCGGGAAAACGTATTGGATACTCTTGTAGTAGGTTTCGAGCACTACGAGGGAAGCTGACGCTTCCTGGCAAATCAAGTCTCTGTTGTGGGTCAAAATCAAAGTGGTCTGTGCTAGGTCTCTCTGTCTGAGAGGTGGTTTCATAACTACTCGGTCCTTTAAATCCGTTTTCTAGATTCTAATTGCCAGCTGCCAGCTTGGCGGCGGGACCCGTTCCGACGCCCGATAAATGGGCTAGGCTTGATCTGTAAAGCCTTCGCTAGTTTATGTAGAGTGTGAACAACGATACGCTACGACAACTCCGTCGTCGGCTGTTCACAGCCGTGGCTGTATAATTTCGATACTTGAGCGATAAGCTCAAGATAAAAATTACCTAAGGCTCTCCTGAATTTTAGTCGGCAATCACTAGCATATTGCAGTATTTATAGCAATTTTCATTTCTGCAGGCAGCTATATTGCCGATGTTATTACTGCTGTCGCTATAGTTAATCCAATACTATACTGAATCGGGGGAGGTTGCCGCATTTGCAAAAATACGCTGCTTAAATTTAAAAGAAAAGACATTTTCCAAATCAGTGGGCTGTTTCAAAATCTCGATCTACTACCAGGGAAGATGCTCAGACGTAGTCAAGCGCCGGTTAGTTGGGCGAAAACGGCGGTGGCACAGTTTTGGTACAAAACTCGTGTGACTCACGTCGGTTTCACGTCGAGCGAATTTAAAAAAAATCGAGCAATAAACGAATTAATCACCTGCAGCTGCTCTGCAGCAATACCTCAAATATTTTATGTGAAATGATAAATCATTATTTTATGTACTGGGGCCGAATTTTACGGTATAAGAGATCAGACGAGGTTTCGCGGAAAGTAGCCAGCCCTAAATAGCAAGAGGTTGGAGACATCCGACGTGGACGAACGAGAATACCGTACTGGCCCCTCAAAGTAGGCTCATGGTATTAGCTGGAGCTCTACCTCAGTGGACTCCGTTAGAGATAAGACTCACAGCTAAAAGTAAGAATTCTAGGCTCTGAGACTTGTAAGCGCTGGGGTCTCATATTATAACGCACACAGCCGATGCTTCGAAAAACTCACACTTCCAATGAATTGTACTCGAAGGAGCACTGTTGGCGACACATGTGGTGCACACATCACAGTTCTTCGACCCCTGTGCTCACCAATCCAAAGCACTCTGTGTAGGAAATGTAGAATCGAGTAGATGTGAATGACTTGGATTGAACGCGTGCCAGACGCGTTTCGGCCCCCGCCGGGGCCTCGTCAGTGGCTTTACCAATCTCGAAGTGAGAACTAGCCAACCATCCGCTAGCTAAGACCTATCACTATGCCTAGATCCTTCTAGAACCTTCCATATGCCGTAACATAGGATACTACTCTGGAGTCGATGTACGTGCACATCTTGCACTTCCAACACTCCCCCTCGACGACATGAGTCGTAGCCGTCTTGGTCACGAGCGTACAGCCATTCTGCTGCTCTCCGCATGATGCTTGTCAGCTGCAGCCTTTTCACTGCATACATTCTTGTAGGGTTTACCACCTGCGCGCTGGCCAGCGTATCCGTTGCTGCCGCGTTCGCTAGGTTTCCCAGCTTCCTCATGTTCACCACCACGTCGTCCCTTGACACCTTGTAGCCGTCCTTGAGCCTTGCTTGAGCTTGTTGTTGTTCCCCTTCTCGATCGACCTCTTTCGATCCACCACTCACACCACTCGAAACCACCTCCTTGTGCAGAACTCGGCCGTCCTTTTCCCGAACGCAAAGAGCGACTGCGTGTCCACCGCGCACTTGTATGTTCCGCTCCCCCTGTCGTCGGAGCCCGTTGCTTCCGCGACGACTTGAGCGTGAACTCCCCCAGCGCGTATTCCGCGTACACCGCAGTGTCCATACCAAGCCGTTTGGGCTCATAACCTGTAGGAAATGTAGAATCGAGTAGATGTGAATGACTTGGATTGAACGCGTGCCAGACGCGTTTCGGCCCCCGCCGGGGCCTCGTCAGTGGCTTTACCAATCTCGAAGTGAGAACTAACCAACCATCCGCTAGCTAAGACCTATCACTATGCCTAGATCCTTCTAGAACCTTCCATATGCCGTAACATAGGATACTACTCTGGAGTCGATGTACATGCACATCTTGCACTTCCAACAATCTGCACTCACAAAAGATTTTACTGCAACCGAAAAAGTATCCCGAAACGGTTGCTTAATCGTTCGATGCTTTGTTTTAAATTGTTTGATTGCTTTTTATAACTTAAATACGTAAGCCCTCATGTACACATACAAACCATTTTACTTCGTTTCCAAACTTTGCCTTTAAACGTTCATGCGTAAGAGCATCCAATTTTGACCGGATCATATTGTATCAGTTATTCAATTTCACAATCTTTTGTTTCGCTGTAGTCTAATTTTCGGTCATCAATATGGTTAGAGCAGAAGGGTAAGAGCAGAAGGGGGGGGGGCTGTCTTCAAATACCTTAGGTACATGGTGCTCGCCCCTTTTGGTCCCGTAAGACCAAAACGGGACCAGATCTGCAGGTGATCTGTTTAAAACCTTATCGTGATGAGAACGTCGATAACAAACATATTGGCTCTTTCCATTCCGTCACGACAGACCCTTCGTCGTCGGTTAAAAAATACTATAGTAGTAGAAGAAATTAACGATCCTTTATCCGACAAAGTAGGAATGCACCGAAACCGCGACGATATGACTCCACCCTTAGTTACTTTGCTAACACGAGATGACAGTTTTTACCAAATTCTTTAGCCGTGGCACTGTCGCGGTTACATTTATTTAACGGATAGAACAGCCGGGACAGCCTTGATAGACTTGGCATATGTAATATAAGCCTGGTACGCTGTCTTGAATTCTTCAATGGCTTTTGGATTCAGGTTTTGTCGAGCCAGGAAGACGACAATATCATCAACGCTCTGGAGGTTGTCATACCATCCCTTTAGAACGAACCGTAGGTGCTCAGGCTGAGTCCTCATTTTCTGGAATTGCTCCGGCATCTTTTTAAAAAAGAACGCGATGTCGTCCAAAGCGTTAGAGTTAAACGCGTGTTGAAATGGCACTATCGGTACTGCACGCTCTTCTTTCGTTGCGTCTCGACCGTCAGCCGTCGTGAGTGTTCGCAGGATCCTTGCTTCAGCATTACCTTTGGCCGACAGCAGAGTTAGAAGGAAGATCACACAAACGAGCAGAATACAGGTGCGGCGCATGCTTGACTGGGGGTGGGACACGGCTTGAGCCCTTGACGGTGATTTCGCGACTGATGTCGTCGAATAGCGAAATTCGCAAGTGGCACTATATCAAATCTGAAGCAAAATTTGTAAAAATTTGAATCGTCACTTTGATTGATTAATACCGGTTGATGCATGATGCGTGAGGTTTTCGTACTGTACAAGAATACGTACCGGTACGTGTATTATTATCAATAATACTTTTCGCCACGAAGTGTTCACCCTTATTAAAAATCACCGAAGGGCGTCACGTACTTCAATATTTTAAACTTTTTGGACAAGTGATCAAATAGGTGGGTGATTCCCAGTGTGATAGGATAATGAATTTGAATGCAAGCCTCAATGGCACTCGAGGGCACATGTACTATGCTCAGATTGCTGATTGCGTGCCAGGATTCCTGGCTCAGGAATACTCTATACAACGAAGACGTTCCCGTCGTCTCTTGTGATCGTCTTGTTGTCGTCTTCACTGACACTCACGTCGTGACAACACCGGTTAGCAGCTAAGTTAGCTTGCCAACTCTAGTTATCTTGCGGTTTTTTCGCGGAGAGAATCAGTACTGTACATGGTACAGTACCACAGTGGCTACCGCTACTTTTAATTGGCAGTGGTACTAGTACATGTACCGGTAGTACTGTACCGTGCTACCACTGGTAATTAAATGTAGCGAGTGCAATGCCCGGCTCGCTGGAAAGCGCGACGCTGGGTCCGCCTCCGCAAATACCGCGCGGGTTTGCTGCGGCTACGCGACCTCGCATCCGCCCGCCCCAGTTGGTCTTCTCCCTTTTTGATTTGAGTAAAGATTGGTACGTTTTACTTACCATAAAAAATAAACCAAAAACAAGTTTATAGTCAGGTATTTCGAGCCTGGAACGTTATTAAACCAATATAAATATTCATTGAAGTTGAAGAGAAAGGGCACGATGCACTAAAAGCAAGCGGTAAAGGTGATTGCTGACATCTGCTCGAACAACATTCACGCGAGTTAAATTACTTCGGTTAATCGTAATTTACAGTGATGTTACCCTAGGCCGCCACAAGCAACATTCACCTGGGTGACATCACTGATACAGAGGATATTGTGGGAGATGGCTGTGATTAGCACGCACAAACTTAGCTAGCTTTTTGTGATACATGATATTTTTTTTTCAACATGTACTGAAAGAACCGATGAGTTTGTCTTATCGATTTGTAAATCGGCTGCTTTAGGTGGTTATCAACGGCGGGTTTACAAATTTGGTCCCAGTCTCGTCTGACCCCCAATTCCCAGAAATTGGAAGAACACTTACCTTTTCGGAGCACTCCGTGAAGCTGTACGTGGCTGCAGCCGTGCAGTTGTAGCGTCCGCGGTTGTTGATCAAGATGAAGTCCCACATAGGCGGTACACCCGGATCTCCGTGATATATGTCCGCCAGCTGGACGTTGTACTCGGCGTCAATATCCTTCTCCTACGGTTGGAGCTGGTCGTCACGAGGGTGGACCACCAGCGGTCCACGAAGACCGTACGGGTAGGCTCAAAAGCATCCGTGAATTAAAGTTAAGCTTAGCCAAGCACGTGGAGTAATTGATGCCTTATTAAACGGTACAGTTGCTGAACAAACAATCGGCCTCAATATTGAAAAAATGGCGATAAAAAGTAAAGTAGAATATGATTTGACACGAGGAAGGTGCCCAAATTCAGCACACATGGGGAGCCGGCAGTTGCTCAGGCGGCACGTAGAGATGGGTGGATTAATTGATTTTTAAACACCTAGCCCTAACAAAGGCTCAAAAACTCTTTTGACAAGGGTCTGGGTCTTAAAAAGTATTATAGCCTGTAATATTATACCCAAATGTGAGGCGCATTTGCCTTTTAAAATGAATATATCCAAAAAGACGTTTCAGCAATTGGGGTGGGTGGGTGGATTTAAAGGATTATCCCGACTTATTAGACCCCACTCCGGAACCCTGGTATGCAGGCTCTCTCTACAGACTTCCCGCCCGAGCCGCCGGACGCGGGTGCACCGTGGTGTTCGGTCTTGGGTGTAGGCGGTGCGCTCGTCACCACCTTTGCTTTGGGTTTCACCGAAGGCTGTCTGGAAATCGAGCGACGCCCCATCCCGCTGCGCTTCGCACTTCGATTCGCCGCTGCCAACGTGCTGCCCAGTGTCGTGTTTAGATCCGTCCCCGCCCGTCACGCCGCTGCAGCATCGGGTATCCCGTTATCCTCTCTTATAAACGATGCTAATCTCGCCAGCACGCGCTCTGTAGCTGTGGGGAAGCGGCTGGTACTCATCAAGTCGGTACGGGCGTTGCGTCTAGCGGCCGGAAGCTACGGACTTGCGTGGAGTCTGTGGCACTGGCATAAATCTGATGTGGGCAATAGTGATAATAATGCCAATCAGGGAGGAATTAAGTATGGAGAGAGCGTGGTGCGTCTTGCACCTGTGGACTCGCCGCTGTCTCGAGCTTCGAAACGCAAACACGGGGACCATATCTTGACTGTGCCGTCGAATATAGAGAACCGGGAAAAACAGGGTGCGAACAGGGTCTCGGATGCCGTAAATTGGAAGAAAGTAGGGATAAATATTTGCTTGGGAGAGGAAGGACAGCAGGTGAAGAGAGTGAAGGTGATCGAAGTGGAGATCGGCGATGCAGAGACGACAGCAGACTATGCCAGGGGGTTGAAGGCCAAGGCGTCCACCGATGACAGCACTTCGGTGTGTTCAGTAGCAGTATTGCCACTGTGTGGGCCACCTATACCGCCGTCAGCAGTGGAGTCGTACGATGTGTGCTTTAATCCGTTGTCGGCGGTGCTGAGATTCATCGCTTTCTTTTGTCACGAGCGTGGAGTTACGCATGTGATCCTGGCTGGGGCTCAAGACGACAGGGACGAGGATGCTGAGGATTTGTGGCTGCATCTATCGATGTCGCAGTTGGCAAATGGGCTGCTATACAGACACGGTATCACTTCGAGTGTACTGACCGCGCAGGATAAGGAGATCGTCAGTGAAGACGTCGAAGGGGAATTAACACAGGATCACTTGAGTGACAACAACTCTGATCTCGTTTTCCTTATCTCGAAAAGTCTTGGTGCTGCACACTTCGCTGCAGAGAAGATGAGCGAACAGGGCATGTAACAGTTAGCTGTTTTATCGGGTTGGATGTGGTACACAACTAACAGCTATCTTACCGTCAACAGGTCGCATTGTACAAGAGAACGCATGCTTCATTGTTGAAGAGAGTCTAAGTGGTCGAAGTGTGCCAAGTGAAATTCAATCCGAGCTGTTAAGAACGAACGCGGAGCAACAGGAACAGACAGAGGAGCAGACGTCTGTTGCAATGTATATGTCCGTGACGGATGTGACTGATCAGACGCTGCAGGGTATTCGCAACCTGCTACGACAAGGCAACAAGCCCGATGCCATCCAGGCAGCGGTATATCGAGCATTCGGCACTCAACGCGTAGTGGCGCCGACGCGACTCGATCAATTTTCCGACATGCACATTTAGAGCGGTTAACCTTTCTACTTTAAGTATAAGTTTGTCTAGGTCATGGTGGGGCGGTATTTTTTGGCCTCCACTGTACTATGCGCGCTAAACCCAGTACCTCCTGCTTGCAGGTACACAATGTCCTTCTTACGTAGCTTCAGTCCCGTGACAGGACACGTCATGGTGGGCAACACCATGTCCTTCAAGCAGCTCTCCAGAATCACCTGGCCAGACGGTCGCAGTAGCACCGCGCGATGGTGCGAGATCTCCTTCTTAGTCACGGCACACAACACCTTCGGCTTCCCGTCTGCAGCACTCGTGTCCCACTCGAACTTGACTGGCATCAAGTGTTTGAGTTTCATCTCGTCCAGACTCATGGGGTCTCTGGTCTTGGTGTCTGGTTTGTCCACCTTCGTCTCCTGTGTGGGGGTGCAGTCTGGGATCCAGAAGCTCGTCTTCTTCATAGCCTCGCGCTTGTCGTCATCTGTGGCCCTGTCTACCTTCTCCTTGAGCTTCTGCGTGGCCAGCGCTCGCGCCTGGTCAAGGGTACGCGTAGCCTTGCCGCTAATGGCGCCCTCAGCCGCGTCGAGCGCCTTCTGCAACGTCTCACGCTCTTTCTGCAGCACCTCGTCCTGCTGCTTACGGTCCTGCGTCTCCATGAATCGCTCGTAGGCTGCTACGTTTTCTTGGATCGAGCGCTTCTGGGCCAGTAAATTGGAGTAGATGCATTCCTTGCAATAGACGAAGCCTCCTGGAGACACAAGAGGGCTGCGGCTGTGCGTCGTGGCCAAACACAGGCAGCACACGCCAAAGGAGAGCTGCGAGTCGCGCCCAAAGCGCCGTTTTAGCGTACCGTGGCCAGCAGCCACCCGCTCGCGGTAAGTGAAATGTGTCGTCGCTGTCGCATTCTTGCTGTGCCGGCTCATGCTGACCGTCACGGACAAGAAGATGTCCTGGCTGCACGGGTCCGGTTGGAAATTGTTGTGTATTTCAATATTGAGATAAAACGTTTTGATATTTTTATTTATCATTTTTCACACAATAGTTGTTCAGCATCGTTTCTAACACCAAATTTACATAGTTTCTCCATATTCCAACGTGTACGTATGAGTGTCAAGCTGCATGGCGATGTCGAGCAGCCTTGCAACCTTCTGGCATTTTGGGTGCTCGGGTTCATCAACAACATCGGCTACGTGGTCATGATCGCGGGAGCCCAGGAGATTGCGGCGGGTGGCGTGGGTCTCGTCTACTTTTTCGACATCTTTCCTGCTCTCTTCGTCAAACTCTCCGGTCCGTACTGGTTCCAGCTTGTTTCGTACCGCCAGCGCACCATTATGGGCGCTATCTGGATGCTACTGAGCTTTTTAGTAGTCGCCAATGGGAAGCATTCGCTCTGGTTGCAATTATTAGGTGTAGCCTTCTCGGGTCTACAGTCGGGGATGATGGAGGCGACGTTCCTAGCCATGTCCTCGTTCTATGCCAGTCCCGTGCGTTGCTTGACATGCTGGTCGAGTGGAACGGGACTCGCTGGTGTAGGTGGCTATGCGTGGGTCGCTATACTGCACATATGGGGCGGACTCAGCTTCCAGACAACACTGGAACTCGCCAGTGTCTTCCCAGTGCTCTACCTCGTGGTATTTCTCTTCCTTCTCGACACATCAAAACTTCCTCCAGCCAGGACGTGCAACTACATGCCAATCCCTGATAGCTCACAAGATAAAGACGCGGTAGTGGCTGTGGTGACGGCGGAGAATACTAAAGATAAGTTGAAAAACGAGCTGGAAAAAGGTGAAGAATCGCTGGTGTTTGATGCATTGACGATGGAATTCAAGGCCAAAGTGAAGTTCATTATGACGCTCGGACCGTATATTGTCCCCTTGACAACTGTATACTTGGCGGAGTATACCATGCAGACCGGAGTATGGTCGGCAATCGGGTTCCCAGTGGACAGTAAAGAGGCTCGTGCCAGCTTTTACTCATCCGCAGGCCTGGCGTATCAAGCTGGAGTGTTCATCTCGAGGTCGTCGGGTGTGCTCTTCCAAGCTACGAGGCCGATCTTGTATCTCATGCCAGCCTTACAAGTGCTACTGCTAGTGTTCTTCACGTTCGTGGCAGCCACGCACTTCTGGTACAACTGGGGCTTACTGTCTCTGTGTTTCGTTGCTGGGTTACTGGGTGGTGCAGTATACGTGAACGCCTTCACGCTCTTGTCAAGGGAGACCCCTTCTAGTCACGTGGAGTTGGCACTTTCAGCTGCATCTGTGGGTGACACAGTCGGTGTCATGCTTGCAGATTGCGCAGGGTTGTTTCTTCAGGGCTGTCTGTACTCTATTAACCACCTGCCAGGCGCTACAATCAGCGTTTCTTGCTAGGCGCTATAAACCTATTTAGTCGATTTCGTTTTTTTTAACCCAATGATGAAGAAACTGAACCGAAGTGGGGAGCTCCTAGCCTTGTGATACCATGAGCAGTGGCACATGCTAAGCGATGAGAACTTGACGGTGGAACTCGCCATTTAGCTCCATGTTATCCTGCGAGTATGATGTAGCTAACAAACACTTGATCGTGTAGACGCTTCGGCTCTTCATCAAGCGGTTATCGACTTCTCGACAACCACGTTAATAATTCTAATAACTAGACTTGTTGATGCAACGATGAGTCTATGAGATAGAACTAGGAAGGGAGGGGTCGTGTGGATTAGATATTTCAAGATGTTTTGGAAGTCCGATGCTGTTGTCGCACTTATTCACACACGGACGTTTATAGATTGATGTTCCCATTGAATGATAAGTCTGCGTACAAGCTTTCGAGTGAATGGAGAATGCCCAAGCATAGTTATATAATACCACCAACACTGGCGAATTCACAGCTAAGACGAAATCACAAAATATGTACATTTCACCTATGACCACTGGGGGACAGAAACACAAAATTAAAACAGAATTTAATGCTTTGCGATTGTGAAAACTGTTATTAATAACACGAACAGAATCTATAAATGAATTTCGTCGCAATTGTTCCCTATTGCAAAATGCACGATGAATACATGATTGCATTTTTTATCTTACACTTTGTGAGCCTGGCGTTCTGTATAAAGGGAGTTCTTTGTCGATTTTTGCACATACAAATCACCTGAGTTGGAAGTTTTGATTTTACAAAGCATTGATGTGACCACATATTCATGTTGACGACAAATTAATCCTCGTTGGGCTTCCCAATAGCGGTATTAATACATGTACTACGTAGTAGCTTGCTTACGCTACCTATCTCCCAGTACAAATAACTTACGGAGTGGTTACTGCTACATGCTCATTACAAAAATGATACGAGTATGTGCCTGGTAAGTGGTTCGAGGCTATCCAACGTAAATAAATAACTTCGCTCTCGTTACCTGCGAAATTTTATCAATGATGTGCGTACCGCTCGCCATCCGCTCAGTCGGCCATTTGCGAGGGGGAGGCAGACGCCGGAAGAAAGGTGGGCGGACAAATGGCGCCGAGCCACAGCAAGCGAGCGCGAGGCGTAAGGTGTGCGTAAGCAAAGTATATGTTGTCTACTAATCGAGTGTTTGTTTGTAGGAAAGCTCTAGCTCTAGCGTGTCTAATTTTGAACCAGAGAGCAGCTGCAACGACGAGTCTAGCTCGGTAGGGCCATCCCCTGCGAAGATTCGGACCAAAACAAAACGTGTTCCCGTTAGCAAGGAGGTTACTGCAGCTCTAGGTTCGTCGGAATCTGTTGGAAGATCTCCTCGCGGGGAATACCGATGCCGATTAATGAAGGAGGCAGTTTTCCAAACCTGGCAGGCTCTGTTGAGCGCATTTGACGACTACTGTGAAGCTACACACCAACCTTTCAGGTATACTTGCTACTAAGAAGAAATTATGAAAAGTAAATTGACTTATTGATATGACTGGACCAGAAAAAGAAGCTCGATTAGTGCCTCAAGTCGCAAAAAGGTTGGGAAAAGGACGTGGCGGTATCCAGTGGAGCCTGAAGAAGAGAATTTGTACCAGATAATATTTGTGTGCACGCACGGTTGGTCGACTAGAAGTCGAGGTGAGATTATATACTTATGTTCGGTTTACTCATAACTAATAGTTGCAAAATGAATATGTTTTCAGGCAAAGGAATCCGACCAATGCAAAACTTTCGTGGCTGTGATTGTAAAGCGCAGATTATTGCAACGCTGAAGCGCATCAAGGTTGCGGAGAACAAGTTTGGCTTTGCTGTTTACGTCACAAAGCCGCACACGACGCACACTCATCCATTAAACGGAGACGCTTGGAGGGCGTATGCTGAGAACCGACGTGTCGAGGACCCGGAAATCATCGAGATGGTTCGAAAGTTTGTTGCAGTGGACTCTAAGTTTGGCAAAATCCATCGCTATGTGATTGACAACACTGGTACGCAAGTTAACATGTAAAAATTGAATGTAGATGTGGCTGTATGTAATCGTATGTGACTGTTGGTGTTTGTTTTTGTCTTAGATAAGGAATTCACATCACGGGACGTCCGAAACATGATCAGGAGTATTCAGACTGAACTAAAGGTTGAAAGTGTCGACGAACGAGTTAGACACCTGCTCGATGACTTCCAAAAGGCAGACCCTGGAGACGTAGCTCAACGCTGCGTAAATGATGGCAACGTGGCAACGTGCTTAACATTTCAAACTGTCGGGCATGAGAAAGAATTTTGGCATTGTTTCCGAGAATTTTGCCTAGTTGAATTCGCACACACAAGACAAACGATCTCCGGTACAAGCTGTTTTCTTTTATGGTCGTGGATGCCTACGGAAAGGGGCAATTTGTCCAGCATGCGTTTGTTGACCAAGAAACTAGTGAAAACATGGAGAATGCGATTGAAGCCTTTTAAGCTCATAACTCTGATTGGGGTCAAGTTGAAGTTATTATGGTGCGCGCAATCCAAAGTCAGTGTAATGGTTGTATTTTTTCGTAACTGTGTTTTGCTGCACAGGTTGATAAGGACATGACAGAAATTGGTGCGTTGGAAGATATGTTTCCTAATGCACGTGTTCTTCTCTGTCGCTTTCATGTGTTGAAGTGGTTCAAGCAGATCAAAAGTACGCTCGCAAGATTGATTTCAAAGACAAGCAAGTACTAACAACCATTGTTCGACATTATGTGAAGCTCGTTTTGATTTTAGCAATGAACTTCAAAGCCGTATGCTTTTTTCCATCAAGCAAATGGTGTACGCAAAAACGGAATTTGTGTATTTGAAAGCTCGTGATGATCTTTTTAGCGAACTGAACCGGCTTTGGCGTGAGAAGAGGAAGAATGAAGTACAGCCAGATACCGAGGGCGTAGCGGAAGATGGCGTGGAGGATATTCATCCGTTCGTGAAGTATTTTAAGGAAAATTGGGATGGTTGTCAGAAGCGCTGGGTCGAGTACTTACGTATAGATATCCCTCACCTGGGGAATAACACGAACAACCGCATCGAATCAGGATGGAGCAAGCTCAAGCCTGAACTGAATGCCGATACACCGCTAGATGAGTGCATGGAGACAATCATAGCACTTCAGTTGTTAAAGGAGCGCGAGTTTACACGAAAAACTAATGTTAGTGAGTGCTGGATAAAATATTCTAGTTTTGAATGCTTACTTGTGTTTGTACATGATATGCAGCGGATCGGTGTGACTAGGCACGCTGAGTACGATGAGGATATAAACCGGTTACTGAACAAGACCACTGACCACGCAGCAGAGCTAGTTTTTCCTGGATACGCCTACGTAACCAAAGTAAGTGACGCATGTGAGAGTTTGTGGTAGTATGTGATCGTATGTAATTACTTACTGGTACTGTACGTGACTTCAGATATCGACGATAATGGCGTACAAACAGACACGAAGCTATGTATTTCTCGTGAGCAGCAATGGAAGGGGAAATCTCGAATACACAGTGGACACGGAGAACTGGGATTGTACTTGCACTTTTTCAAGGACCATGCTGCTACCTTGTCAGCACGTGATTTATTTCCGCCGAATGGTACGACAGTGTATAGATTGTTGCTTGGCTCTGTGGACTAACTGATATTGTTGGTGATAATAGAGTTGAATAAGACTCCTGTGATTCCCATTGATACCATTCATCAGCGCTGGCGAACTTACTATGATATGCTCGATGCTACTGATGTCGAGCCTGTGCAAAACGTTCAAGTGAAAAGGATGAAATATAAACCGTATGTGCTGGATGAACGCCAGAAATGGAGGAAGTTCAAGGCACTGCAAGACAAGGTAACCGAAGTTGCCGTTGCTAATGGCACGCAACGGTTTAGGCGGTTGTACGCAGCTCTTGAAGCATTTCTAGGCATCATCGAGGCATCAGGTGTACCGCTCATTAGCGAAGCACCGTGGACACAGCGTAAGGACAGTAATTGCAGTGATACTGGCATTCAAAAGTGCGGGAGTGATGAAGATGAAAGGGTTCCAGAAACGCAGCCAACCAAACCTGACGAATCCAGGCAAAAGCCTGTGGCCGTACGTGTAGATGAACCCGTGACCGCACCCACGGATACAATTACTGCACCGAAAGGCCCCACTGAAAAACCCACTGCAACTTTGATTTCGGCACCATTTAAGTTGAACAGGAAAGTTAAGGTGAGCGGCCGGCCAAAGACGACAAAGGCCACCCGAGCGTGGTACCCTAAGCAAGCAAAGCCGTCTACGTCAAAAACCATTTCGCTGGAGTACGAGAGCTCTGACAGCTGCATGACCCCTGAGCAGTACAAACCTGGACCAATGTCATTTGAACTCGTTTGTGATGCTCCATACGAACTCTTCACGTACAATGGTTGGTACGACTTAGTGATGAGTATCCTAATTGTAAGAGTGCAAACTATGGTAGTACCCACAGCGTACAAGATCCAGAAAGAAGATTATAGCAGACTACCAGTCCGTGGAAAATTCAACGTACTTAGCGCATGACTGGTGAAGTTAGCGACCAAAGCTGTGACGTCGTACAAAAAGACGCTGGAACGGGAGGCAAAGGAATTGGCAAAAACTACTAAGATGGAGACGAAGACCTCGCTAGACAAGCGCATCGATCTGTCTTCTGAGAGTGGCCTAGCTGTCAAATTTTACCCGAGCCTTGATGAGAACGCGACGGTGTATTCGGATTCGATTATTGATACCATGGCACGTTTTCATGAGAAGCGCAAATTTTTAAAGAACGTGGATGCTTGCTTGAAATGGATTGTGGCTCAGGCACAAAGGAGATCAGTGGCTGTAGACCGTGTCGATGAAATAACCTCGGCTCTGCGAGAGGCATCCGTGTATGCTTCAATAAAGATCCGCGACGAAGAGGTATGTACTTGTTTTCGGTATGTGAATATGTGATGGTATGTAACAGCATGT